AGATTAAGTTTTCCACATTAGCAATGTATTAGAATCACCTGAGATGAAGTGTTAGCCTAGATTAAGTTTTCCACACTGGCAATGTATTAGAATCAACTGCGAAGACGTGTTAGCCTAGATTGTTTAAAATTAAGCTTTCTAACTAGTGTCTATAATGTATCTATTACATACTGTTGATTAAAGAGAGTGCCACAAACAGGTATGATGATTAATGAAATAAAAGATACGTAGAATTTAGCAGGGAAACTTCCATACAGTAGACATTAAGTAAATACTACTTTTCTGTCTTCCAGAGGAGAGTAATGAAAGCTGGCATTCTCTCATGGAAAATAGGAATCATACTTATATTTTTGTCCAGAGAGGATGAGACTAATCTATAATCACAATTCTCTCGAGGAGTACTTAATTTTCTAAAATTCATGTCAGTAAATACTTTTTTATAAAGAAGTTCATAAACTTTAAACTTGCTGGGCTTTCTTTTTTAGGAAATAAATATGTTAAAGTGGCACCGTTAGAAATATTAGTTTCTGATAATAAAAGACACTTATTTAGCGTAATTGCAAATATCCAAAACAGGTTATTTGCAAAGGAATTATCTTTAAAATTAATACCAATGCATTTATCTTAGTATTGTCATTAACATTTAAAAAATGACAATTTTAGAGTTCCAAGGGACCTTACAGATTTTCTAGATTAAGCTTCTTATTTTAAAAGATGAGAAAACCGTAGACTAAAAAGGTTAAACGATAAAGACCAAAGAGCTAGCTCAGCCAGAGACTTCAGCATGGGAGCTTCCTAACTTCCAATACTTCCTTCTTTCTAACATACTATGCTGCTTCATGTGGTTCTGACTCCTCTGCCTCAGATAAGAGTACTGGTTGCCTCTTATTCTATTCCGAGGCATAGTTATCATTTGTAACTTTCCCATAAAATTAGAATTTTCCATCCTGTTTTCTGAATGAATTTTACAACTAAACATGTTAATCCTCAGCTTTCTACATTTCAAAGCAATACAGAATTCAAAAAATACTTGATTTAAACGTGCAATATATATAATCAAACTGCAAAGAAAACTCCTCTCCTGGATAATTCAGGCTACAAATTTTAAAAAATGAACGTAGTGAGCACCTATCACATGCTGAGACTATGTTAAGTGCTGGAGATATGAAGATGATTAAGATTGCCCTCAAGTACAATAGCTTATAGCCTGGTAGAAAAGGCACTTTAAGCCAACAATTATAGTGTACTTATTAAGGACTCTGAAAAACGACTGGGCAGGGAGCTATGAATGCATATAGAGATTTAGAATGATGGGATCAGACAGTGGTTCCCCAATGAGGTACTGAACACCATTAGGAAAAAAGGCAATAACTACCCATATTTAGCAGAATCCAAAATGAATTATAATAGAGCCACTTAAATTGATTCGAGGAGAAAATGAAAATTGTGTTTTCA